TATTGTGTCGCTACAATAGTTGCAAAGCAGTTGCTAACAACAGTGAGGGGTGGAAACCAGCCTTCCGGGCTACAGAGAAATCAAGCTTAACGTGCTTGATTCAGTGGATTCGAGAATCCGGAGGGGTTTCGGGACTGAAACTTTTATCGACTTATATGAACTTTTAGCTTCCCTGTCATGTCCTGATTTGAATTTAATTAACATCTGAATTCATTTTACTAAGATGAGAAGCTAGGAGTTGGGGGAAAGGGTTGATCCATCTTCGATGGAGATGATGATTTTTATCTACTGAACAAAAACAATAACAATTCAATAAGTAGTAGTAGCCCTGTTTTTAGGAGTGACCTCGTGGTCTGGGGATACTGAGACCCAGCCATGAGCTCACTATTTCTGCATGTAATTAAGTTAATTTGAGTGTTTTGACCGAAGCCGAAAGCAGTAACGTTTTTTGTCGACCCGATGTTAGAAAGACCACCGAAAGTACTGGCTTGGTAGAGACGGTGAAATGCATGTAAAGCTCTGTTTAGACGTTAGCCAGTCGTCTTAGGACTTAGTTTTATTTTCCGTCGATATGTATCTTCCGGGCGAATGTTACATGTGCCAATCCAGGTGATGGCGCGTGCTCCGCGGACAATCCCCTCAATAACACCATTGAAATCATAACTCCGGGTTATCTTCAAGTGGTGATCCATTGTTCTATAATCAACTCGCAATTCGCATCAGAAATTAAATTTTATCCACGTCACCTCATCTCACTGCATGTCATAAATGGCATCGTACTACACTCCACTGACTTCAACGTTTTCACAAAATATGCGCCATGAGGAGTGTCATAGATAAACATTTCTTTTCGCTTTGCTGGTTTAAAAAGGTTTATATCGAATTGGCTTTTTTCTATATCTGAGAAATATTCCGGTTAAAACCGAAAAATAAAAAATTCAAAATTCTAGAATATTCCGACCCTACTTTTCATAACGAATTTGATGCCAACATCCTTAACGACCATTTTTGTTTGTGTCGGCGGGTCCAATAATCCGGGGGAATTGCACATTGTCTGCTTATTGACGAGATTGAACACTCGGTTGTTAAGATACAGACCGCACTCCCAGTCAGGGAATGCAAAAACTATCGATATTTTTATTCGATCCATCGATTTTTGACACAAATAAAGATATTTTCAAATGCAATTTTCGATATAAATATCGATATTCATTTTTTGACACGGTAATAATGAGTTTTCCATAAAAATGTGAAAGATTTCGATATTTTCTATTAATTTGATACTTTTTTGTGTGAAATTTCGACTTTGGCAAAAGAAAAGTTTGCAAAAATTCACGACATTTCAATTTAATTTTTTGGAATGAAAGCATTTTTTCTGTTGGTACAGATTTATGTTAATAGAAATTATCGCATCTTACTAGGTTGTCAGGTTTTTCTGTATTGGTGGCAACAAAAACTAGTTCATTTCATTTTTGAGAAAAAATCGTTATTCGATATTTCAAGTAAAATATCGAAGAATATCGATAAATCGATACGGTCATGATTTCGAAATTCGATATTGACCTACTATAACAACCAAGCAGACGAAACAGCAGCAAATTTTTTAGTCACTGTTTTTTCTCTTAAGATTATTCGTTTTAGAATGTCATTCAAAAAAAGCTCGACATGTTATAAAAAATTTCTCATTCTTATTGATTCGTTAGCCTAGAAACAAGTTAACTAATTTAACAAATTTCGCTGTCTCAAAGTGGAATTACCTATAATTTCATACCTTGAATAAACAAATCATCACTTCTGAGCTCTTTTGTTTAAAAAAAACTCTACAGTTGCTTCAATTTCTGGTAATAGTAATTACTACAAAAGGAGGGAGGCTTGAGCGCTAGCTGTGCGAACTTGATTTGCCTTTTTTATTATTTTATTCATTTTCAAATTGTGAATGTGTATTCCACGAGTGTTCTTGTGTAAGGTATAAGTTCTGTACATTGACTTACGAGTTAACAAGTGCCATTATCCGAGAACTCCAAAACTTTAATCTTGTTGATGGCAGAGCCGAAGCTGAGCAAGAACTCTGAAAATCTGGCGGGCTCAGAATGACATTTCTTTTTTGAGTGGTCCGGCAAAAACGTCTTTAAGTGAAATTAATAGACAGAAACGGGACGGCTCTCTGCGGCGGATTCGAGTTTTGAGTTTGAACTTCGAAGCTATCGTTGAAGCTAGCAAGACATAAAACATTCATTTGAATGTTCAAAAAATTTATATAAATTTAATGGCAAAAGGTACTCAACAAGAAGCCTTAGATCGTCGATGCTGTGCCCTCAGTTGAGGCGGAGAGAGAAGTATAAAACAAATCTTAGGATCTTGCTGATCATATTGAGGCAGGGAAAAAATATAAAATATATTTTAGGATCTTGCTGATCATATTGAGGCAGGGAAAAAAAAAATAAAATATATTTAAGGATCTTGCTGATCATATAAAATTACATATTTCACGACATAACGTTTATTTGGTTTTCTCTGTGTGTCGAGGAAACCGGTCTGGTTTGTACAGAATTTCAAGAAAAACCCTTTGCTGGCATTTACTGACTTTTGCTGCCAGACTTATTTTTTTCTGATTGACTTGATTCCCAGCTTCTTTTTTGTAATCCATCAATCGACTGTCTCACGTGTCCCATTCAACTGTTGTGTTCTTGTCCTCAAAATTTTCCAATCATGGCGGTTTTCATCATTTCTCTGAAATTCTAGCTCGTAAATTGAGATTTGAAAAATTTGATCTCTAGATTTATCCGAACCTCCGTTTGTTCATAACTTTGCCACTAATGGTCTTAACTTAATAGCTGGTTTTCAATCGTTACAGGGAAAACCAATGTTTTGCAGGTTATTTTGTCAATATTTCTGAAGCGCTGCTAGAATTTCCAATGATTCACAATTTTGTCTCGAGATTGAAGGAATACTTTTAAGGATTGGAATTTGCTTTGTTGATTCTTATGTAGATTCAGTTGCAATTAAAGCAAGTTTGTCTCCGTTTCTTTCAGAACCTCATAGTTTTAACGAAAGTGTGGCTCTAGCAATTATTTTTCCGACTTTCGAAGAAAACGGAATATTCATGCTCGGTGTGGTTTTTTTATTCAGTCAATTTTCGCCTATCGAAATAATAATTTTCAACAAACATTTTTATTTTATACCCCATTGAAGATATCAACTTCCTGAGTTCAAATACAAAAAGTTCTTCTACCACCGATCATTTATTGTAAAAATTTGGGTTTTTAAAAATTGCCATGTTTTGGACTAAATTATGCGCGCTTTGAAGACTTTATTCATAATGCTGAGAGCGTAATTCGAATTAATTATGCGTGGGAATTATCGCACACAACAAAATCCGTTCCAATTTGAATTGCGGCTAGCTATTTGGTCGTATTAATTTCGTACGACTCAAAATTTTAAACATTGGTATTGTCCAAAATGTATAGGTTTTCAATATTTTAATTTCCCAAAAACTATTCGATATAAATTAAGGGACTGTCGGAATATTCAGGGCTTTCCCCTGATATACAAGCAGTCATGTTGTTGATTCATGCTTAATTTGACTCGTGCGTTCAAAAAACTGTTTATAAAATTTGATTAAAACAAAAAACAGATGTTTTTTTTTCAAACTACAGTCAGAAGTCACGATGTCAACTTTTAATTTTTTTAAAGGGCTTAAGTTTTTTTAATTACGAGACTTGAGATAAATCATCTCTTGTTTCTAAAGTCAATAATTAATTTCCGATGCCTATGTACATTAATTATACAAAGGAGCTCATAATAATTTCCAAAGCACTGACAAATGCACTGAAGCTATCGTTATAGCTAGCAAGACAATAAACATGCATTTGAATGTACAAAATACATATAAAATTAAAGGCAGAAGGAACTCAACAAGGAATGTTAGCTCGTCGATGCTCTGCACTCAGTTTTAAAAAAATTATAAAAAAAACTAAAAGAAGTCTTAGGATCTTGTTGAACATATCTAGGGTAAAAAAATTCATTTTACATGACAGCGTTTTTTTTTTGGTTTTTTCTATGTCGAGTAAACCGGTCTGGTATCTACAGATTTTTAAGGAAAACCCTTTGCTGGCAGGTCCTCATCTTTGCTGGCAGGTTATATTTTTTTTATCTGGTTGGATTAGCTCCCAAACATCTGAATCTCTTCAATCTTAACTTTTTACTTTCCTTCAAATTAAAATTTACTTTTCCTGTATCTATAAAATTCCAATGCTTTTTTGACTGGGTGAAATGATGAAGGAATTGTGTTGTAAATTCAGTTACCATGGTAGTTTCTGGCATTCTGATTTACTTAGAAAAGGCATGTCTCAATGTCGATAGAACGCATTTGAAAGTGTTCTTTTGGAGAGTTCATTCGACCTTACTATCTTCCGATACACTTCTCCTTGATCCAAATCAGAGGATTAAAAAACCAAAAATTTAAAGCCAGTTTTCTCGACACTACAATTACTTTTTTGAAATTTTTCAATTGCAGCCCGAACAACAATTAAAAGGGCCTTAATGAATGCGACTCGGAACTACAAAAAATAAAAATGAGTATTTTTAGTATCAGTCAGGATATCAAACTTTCATTAGACAACAAAAAACTGTCGATTTTTTTGATCAAGGGGAACTGAAAAGAACCCTGAGTCCAATATAATTCCTCGCCTTTGCTGGATGGAATTGCTTGAACCTGCAGATTAAATTTTGTCCTTTGATTGGTCTTAAAAAACAAGTAGGCGCAGTTTTTGAGGAAAGCAAAGGCGAGCAATTATCTTGGACTCAGAGTTGTTTTCACATCCCCCTAAGAAAAAAATAGGCAATTTTTTGTTGTCTAATGAAAGTTCGATATCCTGAATGATACCAAAAGTTCTGGTTATCGTCCTACTGTAATCTCGTCCTATCTATCTCAGGATCACCAAAAAAAAAACCTTCTCAATTTCAAATTGTTGGCAATTTCTTACTTAATTTTTTTTCAAATATTAGAATGGAAAGTAGCGAAGACCATGAACTTAATGAAAGAGAGGAAGATTTGGTCGAGGATCCAGAAAACGAAGATGAAGCCGAAATGGACAATGAAACGAATGCAATAGAGGCTGAACCTGAACTGTTAGAAAGCAGCTCTGAGTTTGAATTTAGTGACACGGACGATACTGAGGATATTGACAAAGCATATGTTCGCCTAAGCACGAAAACAAAATTTGGAACCGAACAAACAGAAAAAGAATTCGAGACCATAGACCCTTTCGATGATGACCTAGTTGGTTTACTTTGTTACCTTTCGAATTTTTTTGCTGGTTGTAAATTTACCGACTCGATTTATTGTTCCGACTATTGAAAATGGAGAAGAACTTTGTATTCGGGTGTGCTTTCGTTTTTTCTTTTTTTTCTTTTTCTACGCAGAATTCGGCAATTTTTTTTAACATTTTTTTTTGTTTTTCTAGTTTTTGTTCGGCAAAAACTGTTTTTCAAATAATTGCTGATTTATTTTGACTGTCGACGGTTTTTAAATTGTAGAAAAAACCTTTCTTGTATTTTAGTAACCGTCTATCCTTGTTAAACTTTCATTTTTTTTTTTGTTTATTTTTAGTTTTTTTTTTGGCTTTATAGGTTCCACCCTTATTATATTGACTTAGTAGTCTAATGTTGCCTCGTTTGATGAATTATTTTTTTTGTTTGTTATGAGGGGGAATGGGATTTTTTGAGGGGTAAAACATAATTTATTATAAGTCTTTTTTACACAAGCAGAGCGTTCGTTTTGTCATACTGCGAAGTTCACTTTTAACCCACGTCGCAAATAATTGTGCTTATTTGATAGCACTTTTGCAGCAATAGCATTATAATTGGGTTATTTTGCTGCATTAGCATTATATCTGTTTTTTTTTGTTACATAAGCATTATAATTCTGTATCTAGTTTATTGGTGGGTGGTGTTTGATGCTTATCAAGCGCCCATGGGACAGACGCTAGAACGTGAGACTCTTAATCTCGAAGTCTAAGGGTTCGATTCCGGCAGATGTCAAAATTTTTATTACTTTTACTTTACCTCTTTTTTTCACTTCTTAACCCTTTCAGGACTACTTTCTACCGTTTTCTCGCTTGGTCATGCAAAGTTCAGCTTCGCCTTTGTGTTTATGAATAAGTTTCGAATGGTTTTCTTCCGATGCTTTTTTGACATTCTGTTTTCTTGACAAACCTATCAACATTTTAATAGATCTAGTTTTTTCGAATTTTCTGATGTTATTTTTCTGTTGAGGGGCTTTTGTCTCTGTTTTTGTCGGCTAGTTTGTTTGTAATGTACCGCAAAAGTGTGAAACTCCAGTTTGCTTCTGTCTTACATATTTTATGTTAAGAACTTTTCACTTATGACCTTACAGGAAGATCGGAGGACCATTATTTTGTAATTTTACGGCTGGAAATGTTTCAGGCGGACCTCAAAGTACTGCTTGCAAAGCCAACCTGCTTTTTGGTACTCGGAAAACCTGGGTCTGGTAAGACATCAGTGGCACGGAAGTTAGCCAATTTTTGGAGATGCCAGCTTATTACTCCTACAGACTGCTTGGAGCAAGCCATCCAACAAAACTCAACTCTTGGAGTTAAGGTGTGTTTACTAGAGCCGTTTAAAGCCGTTTTACTAAGTTTTGGCATGAAAGTTGTGTTCTTAGTTTCCATTTTTTGCTATTGCCGTGTCAGATTGTTATTCTGTGAAATAGTATTTTTAAGAAAAGTTTTGGAATTATTTCAGGCTCAACAAATTCTGCAGAGAGGCGAAGTGGTCAATGACGAGTTGGTTATTCAAATAATTGAAGAGCGTCTCAAATCACCAGAATGCGAACACTATGGTTTGTGGCTTTGACTTTGATAGGTGATATTGAAAAAGAGTAGAAATAAGATAATCTGAACGACCTTTAAGAAATCCGAAAAAGTTATTTAAAACATAAAAGTCTATTCATTTTAATTGAAAACACTTGAATGTTCATATTTGTGTTTTTTTATAATTAGGACCAAAAATTTGTCATTTTTAAGTTTTTTAGGGCGAAAAATGTGCTACGTGAGGGTCACCTTCCAGTTTTTTCAATCATTTTAGTCCATGATTTTTATCTAAATAGAAGCTTGCCTGTGCACACCAAACAATAAGCAACTGACATATTCAATGCTATAATTCACGAAACCAAGACGATATTTCGAACCGTCCTGCGTCTGATGTATGAAACCAATTCTTGCGGAGGTCTCCAAAGCGAAGCAAATGTTTAAATTGCATGATTGTCTTTTACCAATGCAACTCATCTCTTTTTATACGAATAACCGTATCTGTTTTACCGCAAGTATTTGTCTGTGGCAAAAAAGGATTGAAGTATACTATATTTATGTTCCATGTATGCTTACTCGTAGCTTATGCCAAAATATCAGCTAGATCCATTTTTGCATTATACTTATGACCTTGACTGAACATTGTCGAGTAGATAACCCTAATGGTGTTAAAAGATAGATATGTCAGTTCGATTGAAATAATTCAACCGTGTTTTCTTAGCTAGAGATTACCAATATATCCTAGCTTTGTTTAGGTTACATCCTGGATGGATTTCCCTGTCTGAGCGAAGAGTACATGTCATTTGGGGAACAGATGAGCATGTTGAAGAACTTGACGCTGAAGCCAGATGTGATCATCAATCTGCGCATTCCAGACATGGATCTGGTCAGTCGCAGGAGTGGCATCAAAGTCGACCCCATGACCAACATATCTTACCCAAAGGTGAATTTGTTTTTGTCCAATGCATAATCAGCACAAAAAAGGCCTATTTTTTTTTCAGGCCGATTTTGACTACCTCAAAGAAAAATTGTACTGGGGGGAGGGGGCAAGTGGCGTTTCATATGGAAGTCTTTTTGGCCGTTACTTAGATTCTGAAAAAAGTTGAAAAATCGTCTCAGTTCCGAGAAAATATTGGTTAAAAAACTAAAAATTTATCATTCTTAACTTCCAGTCTAATTCTTTTTGGGTCTTTTCATTAATTTATCAATTTTTGACTGGTTTTTAGTTTTTAGCGCTCATTAATTAATTCAGCCTCCTCTCGATTTTTTTACGGGTTGGATTATTCTGCAGTACTTGCATAGCAACCGGCTATCCTTGTTTATCTATTAGGACAAATATGCGCCTGAGAAGGGAGACGGGAAGAAGAAGGACTCCCTGGAAGAGGCAGACGAAGGAGCAGAAGAAGAGGAAGGAAACGAAGAGGAAGAGGAAGAGCAGGGACCTGTTGATGAGGAAGATGAGGTAAACATCTGTCAGTTAATAAATAATAGTTGCCAGACAAAAAGAAGGGGATCGAATCTGAGTCTTGCGCAAAATTTGTCATGCAATTTTAATTTTTTTTCTAGCACTCAGGAAGAATTTGAATTGCCTTATTGCTCAAAAAGTTCTTGTACTTTTTAAATGATTTTATTGCGTGAAAAATACTGAAAAAAAAACACTTAACTTTGAACATTGCAACATTCGGCTATTACAGCCAATGAAGAATTGTGTTGAACCGAGTGAACTATCATCCCGCTAAAAATCAAACTAAAGGAAGGATTCATCTGTTGATTAAAGGAAATCTTTTTCAGCCAGCCAGAATCCAGTTTTTTTTGCATTATGACTTGCTCCTTAAATTTTTCTTATTTTAGAAGGAAGTGTTTACAAAGACGTTATGTTTTAAGACTTAGATCAAGTTTACTGTAAACAAATGTGTTTGATAATTCTTATAAGATAACCAAGGACGGAGCTTACTCTTAGATTCAACTTTTGTCATACTTTTGTTTCCAAAACCGATTAGTTACGCTTTTTACCCGAATACTTCAAATCATTCAACCCTGTAAAAATTTAATTTTGACGAAAAGTTTCTATGATGTGTACTCCTATTTCAGTACACTGCCTTTGACGAAGACTCTGGGGATCTTGAAGAAGAAGTGGTCCAGAGACTGGTCACTCGACCAGAAGATTTTCCAGAGAATGTCTCTGCCAGTATTACTAAGTTCAAAGACGAACTGCTCACTCCGATTGAAGATCTCATGTCCGATCACGAGCCTCAGAATCTGATCGAGATCAATGGCATTCTTAATGAAAAGACAGTTTTCAGGGTGAGAAATAACTAAAAACGAACTCGTGGTTAAAATGTTCCTTACAAGCTCCATTGATGATATAATAATGCAAACAACAATATTTTAACGCTTTTTTCTAAACCATGGTCCTTTTTTTTTCGAAATTTCAGATCCATTTTTTTCCTTACTTTTTCCAAAACTGGAAACAAAACAACGCTGCCTAACATCTTTTCTTTTTTCTTTAAGCAAATCATGCTGAAGCTGACGATGCTGTCGTTCCGACCTGCCATCGTGCCTATGAGACTGCATGGATCGGAGGAGGAGGAACTACCTGAGGAAATGGACTCTGACGAACTGTTCCGACAGATGGCACCTGTCAATCATCCAGGGCCCAGATGGAGGTACTTTGCTTGCATTTGAAAGTATATACATGTTTTTCCATTCATAGTTCTACATAGGGGGCTAATCCCACGCGCGAAGGACCGAATGGGCAAAAAAATCGTGGGCGAAGGACCCAAAAAAATTAGCCGAGAGTCAATTTTGAAGAAAAATTTATTGCCATTCAATTAAATTGAATTAAATGAAGCAATATTTTGCTTCTTTCATAACGAAACCCTTCAAATGTTAAATTTGTTCCACTTCGGCGGCGGTCAGTGACAATTTGAAAATTTTGCATTTTTCTACCGTTTTTATATTCGGCCAATATCAATATTAAGTCCCTGGAAATGTTTACTTTCTTTTAGATTATCACGCTTTCTTTCCAACTTTTAGATTACTGAAATCTGATTAGCTGATTTTTATTTTCGCGCATTCGGTCCTTCGCGTTTGAGGGATTCCACCCTCTACATAAAATCGAACTTTCTCAGGGTTTTGTATAATTCACCCCATAATAATGCTTTTTTGTTGCAGTTTTTCATTTCTCAGAGACACTATTTTTTAATTGAAAGGCTGAAAACAGTATTGTTATTATTGTTCCGACTATTTTCGGAGAACATGACTGAATATTTTTCCTTGCGGGGTTTTTTTTTCTCCTGACGGCTTCGACTTTTTATCTTGCAATTTTTTACAAATTTTTCTATATCATTCGAAAGGTATTGCTGTCCTGCGCTCAAATTCAAAAAGGTATTTCACTTGTGATAATTTTTTCGTAAAATTATGGGGGTTTAAAGATTGCCAATTTGGGACAATTAACGCACGATATATTTTATTTTATTAACGCGTTAGCTAGGATTTATTCTGTCTTAGAAATTGTTCCAAGTTGGATTGAAGCATGTCATCTCGGTCCGTTCACTTTTTTGCTTTTTGCAAAAATATATCACTTTGTACTTTATAAAGCGTGTGAGGGGATGACTTTCAAACAAAAAATTCCAAAAAAGCTGAAATTGTTCGTTTTTTTTTCAATTTATCATTGATTTTGATTGAAACTACTCCATAGAAATTAAAATGCAGTCGAAACAATACGAGCAGTTTTGTTATTTTTAATTGTTAGTTGTTTTGAATTTTTTTGGAAAAAATTCGAATAAACTTTTTAATTTGTATACTGAAGATGGCTGCTGCAACGGCTTGTTTTCTCGAGCGAAGCGTAGTTTAAAAGTGAACGTATTGAAGACTCTTATGTATGTCGTGATGATGTTTTTTTTCCAAAAAATTTTGATTTTTGCTCCCGCTCAAATTTGATTTTTCTCAGTGTTTTTTGATTTTTTTTTCTGATTTGAAATTATTTCTGTTTCCCGAAAGGTAAGAAAACTTCATTACTATCTGGCAAAAAAAATTAAAGCTCACAAAAAACGTCATCGACTTCTAGTTTCGAATGTGGATTTTAGTTTTCATTTTCTCAGCGGAATGAAAGTTTTCCTATTGATTAAGTTTTCTCAAACTGGGTTAAATTTATCAAAAAAGTGTCAGTCTTGAAGTACTCCTGAAAATCTTAGAGCTTCAAAGGCTTATGTGTTTTTGAAGTTTGAAATGATTTTTTTTTAATTCAGTCTGATGGGGCAAAAAATGTGAACGTGTTACAGGTTCAAAATCGATGATATTTTTCGAATATCTCAGCGGAATAATGGCCATATATTTTTTTCTTCAGCTAACAAGTATAAAAAAATATTCCGTTTCTTTGCGTTCGTAGACTCTTTTCGGACTGTCTGCGGGCTGTGTTTCAAGATGTTAATTTCCAGAATTCTTCTTTATTTCAAAGTTCCATCAGTTTTTTAAACCAAAAACTACTTCATAGACGCTAAGGGTTAATGAAAACGTTCGGGGCGAGTCATGGTTGCACAAACCAAGCGTAGTGTTTTATTAGGAAGAATTTTTTGTCCAATCTTCCTTGCATAATAGGCTTTTGCCATGTTTATATAAGAAAAGTTTGTGGATTTAGGAAAAGTCAAATTTTTGGTTTATTGGTTGTTTTTTGGAATCTTTTTCACTTTTTTCGGAAACTATTCAATCAAATCTGAGAAAAATAATTCAATTGAAAGAGCGAGTAAGGGTTTTTTCCTTAAATAAGCAGCTTATCTCCTACTTAAGCAGTGAAGTTACTAGGGTATTGAGTAAAGTCCATTTTTTGAAGTTTTGTAAATTACACATTTCCGTATCACTACAATATATGATTTAAAAAATTAAAACAAATACATTCAGCGTTAGCTGGGCCACTAGCTTAATTCAAAATGTCTGTGTCGCAGATGCGAGGACGTGAGTGACGCTCCTAATCATCAGGTCTGAGATTGAAATCCAGAACATTCAAATAGTTTTTTTTTGCTGGAACATTTGCTGTTTTGTTTTGGTGGCTAGTGTAAGTACATTACAAGCGGTTGTGGAGCAGATGTGAGAAAGTGATACTCCTTGTCTCAAAATTGATATTCAAAGATGGCCAAAAGACTCAAAATCGGTTGCATCAGTCGAAAGAAATCGGAGTGTAATTGAATCAACTGTGTATTTTTTTTCTGTAGGTGGCGTCGATCTAGATGGGGTCGCTTCTGTCCAGTGGCTCTGAGGGAGGGCAACATCCAGTGGGGAAAACCAGACTTCGGAGTATCGTAAGTAGTCCATTTCTTCACAAAAATAATGAGTACTTGTTCAAAATAAATAGATCAACTTGCTGAATTCTTGCTTGCTTAATTATTGTATGAATAAAAGTTATTACAATATTTGGTACAATATTGATAGCTATTGCAAGAAAAAAGTTGTTGTATGAAAAAAGTTATTACATTATTGGGTACAATATTGATAGTTATTGTATGAAAAAAGTTATTGTATGAAAAAAGTTATTGTATGAAAAAAGTTATTGCATTATTGGGTACAATATTGATAGTTATGGTAGCTGGTTTCCTGAAATATAGATAGGTCCCTAGCTTAAATTTATGCGCCTTAAAATCTTCAGGAAATAGTTTTGCAATGATTATTTTAGCGTTTTTCAGATTTTCATAAAATGATGGGACAATTGTTTAATAATTAGTTCTTTTGGTATCCCGTCAATCATATGTGGTCGCAATATTATGACTTCTTGCATATTTTTTAGATCTCTTTAACTATCCCCCCCAGGGTACCTAGTAACGAATTGCCTCATTTTTTGTAGTCCTATATTTTCTGTCATTAATTTTGCGAAATTGTCATTCAAAATTAGTCTTCTTCATTTCAGCTTCCTGGACAAGATGTTTTTCCTTTCATCCGAGGAGGCGATGAAGAAGTTCCTGAAGAACCCCCGCCAATTCCTTCTTCCCCCTCAGCCCCGTCCACCCTGTCGCTTCTCAGTGGTGGGTCCGCCCTTGAGTGGCAAGACCACTCTGAGCTACATGCTGGCCAAAAAATACGGAGCTTATGTTAGTTGTAATTAGTTCATTGGGATTTTGTACCCATTATACCTATGGTCTATTAAAAAGAATTGAATCCTCATTAAAAAAACGGATGGTAAGTTTGTCCAATTACCTTAAAAGTAGTAGTAATAGAATTTACCGAAAGTTTTATTTTTTTTATAAAAACAAGTTTCTTCATTTTGAATTTTGAAGAAATGAGCACTAGTTTGTATCGTTGAAATGTTATCTTTTGTCTCATGTTTGAACAAAATCTGTATGATGAAATTGTTTCAGGTGTTGGACGTGAACAAATTGATGAGGAGTAAGTTTGTGGAGGCGAAGCAGAAGATGGTGGAGGATGCGAAGATGGAGGCCACAGAACAGGCCATCAATCAGGTCAAGCAGCAAGTGGAGGCTGCCATGCTAGCCGCCAAAGGTAATTATGTCGCTCTAATTAGTTGCTGTCCAACCTTCTCATCTCGTATTTTTTCGTAATGATCTGTAAACTGAAAAAGGTGTGAGTTATTCAAGGCAATTTAAACCGAGGCCTTAAAAACATTCAAGGCTTTAACAAAATTCAGGCAAACGCTTAAAAACTAGTGTCGAGTTTTATGTAGTCGTAGTTTTTGTGGAGGTAATCTTTAAGTGATGATGAACGCAGTGCTTTCTTTTCTAATTCGTGTCATTTTTTGTTCATTTTTTTTGATTTTGTCTTGCTCGATAATATAATTTGGTGGTATAAGGCTTCATTTTTCTGAAGCTCGCTTTTTGTTTTCGGAAATTGAAAATTGGTGAAATTTAAAAATATTCACTTGAAAAAATCTTTTTTTTTTGCTATATCTCAAATTTATAGTTCAGACCATTGAAAATGGGGAGGAACTTTGTACTCGGGTGTTTTAGTTTTTTTTTCACTAGTTAGCTTGTAACCGTTAGTGTATTGGTACGAACGTCTTTTTAACTCAATTCGCAAATAAAAGTGTTCATTAATAGTTTTCACTTATTTGATTGCACTATTGCCATAATCACGATCTGTAGCGTGTCAAGGTCGCAGCACGATTCCTGGACGTTGCGGAATTTTTACTTATCGAGGCTCTTATCTACTTTTTTTATCGCCCTTTATAGAGCTGCTTTTTGCCGTGTTCTGGCTAGTTTTTGCGAAGCGCAGTAATTTCTGCATACAATTTGCAATAAGTCAATGTCATGTGAATGTTAAGGATGGGATCGTTTTTATTCAGACCAATTTCGACTTTTTAATTAACAATATTTTACGGATTATTTTTAAGAGCCCTTGAACGTAGTGAAGACTATTAAATAGGTCGTGATGGCTTTTTCAGTTTGTTTTTCAGAAAAAAAATTAAAGCTCACAAAAAATGTCATTGACATCTAGTTTCGAATGTGGATTTTTTTTTCATTTTTCTCAGCGAAATGAAAATTTTCCTATTGTTCAAGTTTTCTCAAATTGGGTTAATTTTATCAAAAAAGTGTCAGTCTTGAAGTACTCCTGAGATTACTAGATCCTCAAGGCCATATCTCGTTTTTGAATTTTGAAATGTTGTTTTTTTTCAGTTCAATCTTATGGGGCAAAAAATGTGAATGTGTTACAGGTTCAAAATCGATGTTGTTTTTTCAACGGAACAATGGCCATATATTTTTTTCTTCAGAAAACAAGTTTTCAAAAAAAATTTCCGTTTCTTTGCTTTCATACACTCTTTTCGGACTGTCTGCTGGCTGTGTCTCGAGTTGTTAATTTTCAGAATTCTGCTTTGTTTCAAATTTCTATCAGGTTTTTAAACCAAAAACTACTTCATAGACGTCAAAGGTTAATGAAAACATTTGGAGCGAGTCTTGATTACACAAACCAAGCGTAGTGTATTATTACGAAGAGTTTTTTCTAAATTTCCTTGCATAAGAGGTTTTTGCCATGTTTTATGAAGAAAAGTTTGTGGATTGAGGAAAAGTCCAATTTTTGAAATTTTGTGAATTGCACACTTCCGTATCAGTACAATATATGATTTAAAAAGTTAAGACTCAAATTTATAGTTCAGACCATTGAAAATGGGGGGAACTTTGTATTCGGGTGTTTTAGTTTTTTTTCTTTGTTTTCCTGGCAAAATCAGGTACCACAAATAATCGCCGGAATGGGTCGAGTGAAACATCATACTAACGCCCTTTCTGTCGTGATTCGAACGATTTTAGAAATTTCTGAAATTTTTTTCAGTGTCGAGAAAAACGGGTTTAAAATTTTGATTTTAGTCTACTTTCGAGCTAATAAGGTGACCGTGCACTCTCATAATAGCTTATTTAGGCCGTGAAAATTTGGTTATACTGAAGTGAAGGCAGGTTTTCGAGTTTTTTAGCGCAATCTTGGGAAGAAAAAAAAATCTGCAAAAAATTTTTTAATAATTTTTTCAAAACATTTTTCAAGTAAAATCTACTTTTTAAAATCTATATTTTTTCACTAGTTAGCTTGTAAGCGTTAGTGTATTGGTACGAACGTCTTTTTAACGTAGTTCCCAAATAAAAATGTTCATTAATGGTTTTCACTTATTTGATTGCACTATTGCCATAATCACGATCTGTAGCGTGTCTAGGTCGCAGCACGATTCCTGGACGTTGCGGAATTTTTATTTATCGAGGCTCTTATCTACTTTTTTTATCGCCCTTTATAGAGCTGCTTTTTGCCGTGTTCTGGCTAGTTTTTGCGAAGCGCAGTAATTTCTGCATACAATTTGCAATAAGTCAATGTCATGTGAATGTTAAGCATGGGATGGTTTTTATTCAGACCAATTTCGACTTTTTAATTAACAATATTTGACGGATTGTTTTTTAGAGTCCTTGAACTCAGTGAAGACTCTTAAATAGGCCGTGATGGCTTTTTCAGTTTGTTTTTCAGAAAAATGTCCTAAAATTTGTTCACGCTAAAATTGTTTTTAGTGTTTTGATGTTTAATTACTTTTCAAGTTCAGTTCAACTTCTTTGTTAAAAGGAAGGCAAACTCCACAGTCGAACAGCAAAAGTGTGAAAGTCACAAAATAAAGTGATTAGTTACTATTTTCGGAAATGGATTTTCAGATTTCCCAGCGCAATGAAAAAAATTTGCCTATTGATCCCGTTTTCTCAAATTGCGTTTTTTTGAACAGAAAAGTGTAAGAAAAAAATGTTTCGTGAAATTCGAAGAGCTTGAGGGCTAGTTTTTTTTGTTGAAGTTCAAAAGTTCATTGTCTGTTGGCTATATTTTTTATATTATTTGAAACGTGTCAATGCCGTGAGCTCAGATATCAAAAGTTTTTCCACTTATGATCATCTTTTCTTACAATTATTGGGGGGAATCAAAATTGTTAATCTGGCAAAATTTTTGCGCAGTGTGTTTCGTTCATTATAACCCGAAACAGCAAAATAATGCGGCTTAGTAATCATTCCAAATTGAATCGAGGCAAGCTATTCAGTCATAATTTTTTTTAAATATTCCTGGTAAATTTGTTTTTACATAGCGCATGTTCTGTTCTTTTAAAAATATTACCAATTTTTTCAAAGGCACAATCTGTTTCATGAAGGTAAAAGGCAGTCAGAACATCCAGGTTTTGCTCTGATGCAGGCACTCTTGTTTGCTAAGGTAATTTTTGAAATTTATTTTGATGCCTCTGTTTTTTTGTTTATGCGCTGGCTATGTTTGAGTAAAGAAAATTGGTTCTTTCTGTTATTTGTGCATTTTTTTGCTTTTGGCTAGCCTTTTTTATTCACGCAATTTTTTGTTGTCGAAGTTTACTTTTTGAAGTTTATTTTTTAGTAATAAGTCCAGATGAACATTTCAAAATTAAAATTCCCGACAAAACTCAATTTTCTCTGCCGTTACCTAGTTTGTTTTGTCCTATGAACTAAAAACTCCAATACGAGTCTCCAATCGAGCTTAAAAACTAGAGCTTACCATAGATGACGATTACCATGGAATCCAATATGAATCTTCAATATGCAGGGATTCGACCTCTCACCAACCAAAGGGTCCCCCTTTTTGTATATATTTATGACATCCATTTTAGGCCGACGAACCCTGAAAACTTTTCTAAATGCGCCTTTCTATATTAAAAACTTTTCTATACTAATTTTGAAGGGGAGCTCGCGCCGAAAAATGCAATTTTCTTGGTCAAATTTTTCCAAAAAGTGCCCAAACACGGCATTTCTGGCCCCCTTTTCAAAATTTTTCTTGCGGCGCAACAATTTCTGTCGAAATTGGGTTTTTATAACGATCTGAGAGCGCTCGGAAAACCCATTTAGTCGACCTAAAAAAAAGCGGTCGACAAAGTTTTTAAAACTTTTTTGAAATCCGCCCCTGCCCCTCGAAAAAACCCTTGATCCGCCCTTGGGTTTACCCTTTGAATTTTCCTAATTGTTGTGATAAACTTATTAAATAGTTTCAGAGAAGTGAAAATGGAATCACATGATGAAACCGCGACTAATCCACCCACTCTTAGATTCCAAGACCAAACGCCAATTGCTAAGCCCGACAACAAAAGGACATGTGCTGCTCTCAGCCCACCAGACGAAGAACCCGTATTAGAAAAACTAGAAGCAACCATTGAAAAGGCAATTGAAAACAAAATTCCAGATATTGTAAAAATGTTGACTGAGGATCTAAAAGGGACAATTCGACAAGTGATTAATGAGCTTCTGACTGCAACAAAAAATGAAATTCTTGGGAAAGTACGAAAAGAACTAAAAAATAGTGAAACGGTTACTCTCGTGAAAGCCATATGCGAAGACGAACAGCTAGAGAATTACAATAGGCGAGATAATTTGAAGATATTGGGATTTCCAGAGCAAGTACAAAGAGATTCGAATGGTAACAGCATTTTTGAAAATTATGACAAGACCATCAACAATGTTATCCAATTGGCAACAAACATTGGGGCAAATGTTACTCCTGCTGATATTTCAATAGCACATCGGTTGCCAACTCGGACAAACAACACAAACCGACCAATTATTGTACGTTTCTCGAGAAGGGTGGCGAAAATAAATATTCTGCGAAAAAAGAAGACACTCAAAGACAATGAACAGAGTGCCCAAATTCACGTGTTTGAAGATCTGACTAGTGCAAGGGTTAATTTTATGAAATTCTTGAAACAGGATAACCGTATTAATGGAGTTTGGACCAGGGACGGGAATCTGCTCTATCAGTGGAAGAACAGCGAAAGAGTTGGAAAAATAACTAGCCTTTATGAAGGAGTGGCGCAGTTGGGATATACTGTAAAAGATTTAATGAATTGCTTTGTAAATAAAAGTGATATTTTTAAGGAAGAGTCTGGCTCCAGTGGAACCTGAAAACTCCAACTGCGATGTAATTACTAATTTTACTGTCTTGTTGTGTAATACTAGATCGATTAAAAAACATAGTGAAGAACTGGAAGCACTAGTTAAAAGTCTCGAGTCTCCAAAAGTCATTTTTACTACAGAAACATGGCTAAGTGAGGAAGATAACAAAGAGCTTTTTACAATGAAAAATTACACGTCCTTTGCTTGTAATAGACAAATGAATAGAGGTGGTGGGTCGATGATCCAAATTAGAGATGACATTAGTTACATCCAAGAGATAAAATGTAGCTTACCAGAAACTAAGGCAATATTAGTGAAATATGCGAATGTAAAAATCATTTTGGTTGTTACCTATTTAAAGCCACGTTCCGATAAAGGATTTTTCATCAAAAAATTAGATGAGTTTCTTGAAGAACTGTCAAACCACAATGGCCCTATAATTTTTGGCGGTGATTTTAATATTAATATCTTACAACAAAGTAACCTTGTAAATAACTATCTAAATACTATAGCAGCAAATGGCTTCATTCTCACAAGTGATACCCCAACACGAATAACAGCTGAATCAAACACGTGTATCGACCATTTCTTTGTAAAAAATATTCCGGAATATGAAGTAAAAATTTTGGAAGAGCACGCGTTTACCGATCATTGCCCAATTTTGCTAAATTTCAGAATAGCTCGTAAACAGGATACAACGAAAATATTTCGGGATTTAAAATTCCTTAACGATGAAGTTAAAATCCTTAGTTTCCAAAATTCCCTTAAAGTAAAACTAGAAGGAGCACAACTTTTAGTTGATCAAAATATCAATTCCTCGTACGAATCTTTCCAAAATTGCTTTAACAAAACGATTGATGAATATGCACCTGTACGCATATGCACTGCAAAAGATTGCTCTTCGGCAGGGTGGGTCAGCAAAGAAATAAAAAAGGCAATAAGTTCCAGGAACAGAATGTATAAGGAATGGAAATGTAACAAAACAAATAAGGCCAAGCGCGAAAAATTCCTCGCCGAGAGGAGTAAAGTAGAAAAATTAGTTAAGCTAAGCAAAAGAAATTACTATCACAATAGGTTCAATAATTGCATTGGAGACTCGAGACAGGTTTTTAAAATATTAAATGAAATATTAAGAAAATGTTCAAGGAGTGGAAACGTTCCTCTTCTTAAAGATGGAGATTTAGAAATAGGTAATAATCAGGAGATCGCCAACCACTTGAATGATCACTTCGCTTACATTGCGTCAAAACTTCTGGCATCATTACCAAGTGATAGCAGAGAGTCTCATGAGACTTATTCAAAATATAATGCACCACAGTCAATGTTCTTACACAAAGTAACAATGTTCGAAGTCCTGGAAATAATAGAGAATCTAAAAGCGAAACAATCTACGGGAGTAGATGAAATAAGCAATATTATCATTAAGAAAGTTTCTCATGTAATTGCGCCATATTTAACTTATTTGATAAACCTCTCATTCGAATCCGGCCAATATCCCGAACAACTCAAGAGCGCCAAAATCCAGCCCTTCTATAAAGAAGGTAGTAAAACAGATGAAAATAACTACAGGCCCATTTCCTTACTGAATTGTTGCAGTAAAATCTTTGAAAAATTAATGCATAATCGCCTATACAACTATTTGAACAAGTTCAACCTTTTATATGAAAAACAATTTGGATTTAGACAGAAATACAATACTATCGATGCATTAGTTGAGTTAACAGAAAAACTTAGGTACGGTGGTAAGTCAATGAAATTCAGTATGTTCCTAGATCTTAAGAAAGCCTTTGATACATTGGATCATGAACTACTTTTACAAAAATTAGAAAACTACGGAATAAGAGGATTGTGTAATGATTGGTTTCGAAATTATCTCTACAATCGTAGGCAATGTGTGTTCACAAACTCCGTTTACTCTGATTGGAAGAATGTTTCGCATGGAGTTCCGCAAGGTTCCGTGATCGGTCCGTTATTGTTTTTAATATATATTAATGATATGCCCAATTGCGTAAAAGACACAACCGTTTACCTATTTGCAGATGATACCAATGTCACTTGCGAAAACGAATCTTTCGAGGTCTTCACCAACGACATACAAAATATATGTTACTGGCTAAATAGAAATAAGCTAACACTTAATGGAGATAAATCAATATTACTAAGTTTCCAAAATAAAGTAAGTGCTTCCAGTCTTCAGTTGTGCATTAACAATTATATGGTTACTTCTAAGGCGTATTGCAATTATCTAGGTGTTTTTGTGGATTCAAAACTGTCATTTTGTACGCACGTTGAAAAAGTAAAAGCGAAACTAGGAAGGCATTGTGGAGTTATTGCTCAAATGAGAAAATTTGTACCGATAGATGTGCTAATAAAATATTATTGTTACAACATCAAACCCATTATACAATATGGATTACTGGTATATGGGGGAACGAGCTTCTCGAATCTCAATCCAATTTTCCTTTTGCAGAAAAAAATAATTCGAATGATTTACAAAGTAAGGAAATTTGATAGTATTAGGGAAAGGTTTAGAGAACACAAAATTTTAACAGTTCATGAGCTGTATGTGTACGATCTTCTCAAATTTTGCTTAAGATCAATAAACAAGTTGAATACAACCGCATTTCTTAACGATTTTTTTACTCTGAAAACAAAATCGGCTTATTTTACCAGAAAATCTATAGGTATTCAATTTGAAGTTCCTTGCTGTAAGACAAAAACGAAAAGACAATCGATATGGTTTAGAGGATGCAAACTGTTGAAGATATTTAGAGATAATAACTTGCTCCCGGAAAATGTTTTAAACTTAAAAAAAGGGGAACTAAATAATTTGGCACATATGCTAAGAGATACGTTTATACATGAAAATTACGAACTTGTTAGGTATATTTTTGCTTTATGATTATAAATATGACTGTGTTCAGGTGCGGGGTGGGGCGGCTCGAACTGTATTCTTTCAGAAGACCAGGCGTTGTCTCCGGGCAACATAGTTTAATACTATTCAAGTCTGAGTATGGGTATACAGTTTTGGGTTGTTCTGCTTTGCACCTAAAGGACATAGTCATATTTCAAGAAATTTTGAAAAATGGTCAAAAAGAGGGCGTTACTCTGCCCAAATTTCTGGAGAATTTAAGGGCTTTTTTTTCGCGAGGTGGATGAGGCGTTAATTAATTTCTAAAAAACTTGTAATTTTTTCTTTTTGCTATTTGGTTTCATAAATATTATATTTATCACTTATTCATAACTCAATGATGTGCTTTTCTTTTGTGTAATCTGTGGGGTACGCTCCTAGTGGGTTTGAAGAAAACCCTTTGCGTATCCTCACTTAACAATCCTGGGTAAACTATTGATTTATTTATTATGTGATAAAAAATATTCTTTTTGTTTAATGTAATAGTGTATCTGATTTTGTTAAGTGAAATTAATTCTTCTTCTTCTTCTTAATTCATTCATATAAAGGATTTGGCTTCCAGAACTAATGCTGCATTTACTTCGGATGTCAATTTACTTGTTTGAACACTTCAATGGGTATACCGATGAATTACTTTATGTAGATTTTTCGTGAACAAAGTTCAGCCCCAGCTTTTTTTTCATTCAATCAAATCTTTTGGTTCTAAAACTGTCAGTTTTTCTTCCATAAAATTATTTAAACCTATAACAAACAAGGACTAATTGAATTTGCTTAGATCATTTGCGGAATCTAATGCTAAATGCTGGATCTATTGAAACGGTGGATTCTAATGATGTCTGTTGATTTTGTTTACTTTTTGCGGATTATCCAACAGCCTATAATATTGCCCATTTTAGTTTCCGTGACACAAAGTTAGAAATGTGGTATTTATTAACTTCTACGAGCACATGGTTTTTTGTTTTTAATTGACTATCAAGTTGGATTTTGGAAATAAATTTATAGTATGATGATGTTTAGCTGAAGAAGAGATGGCAGCGGCTAATGCGAGTAACGAAGAAGGAGGGGAGGAAGAGACGAACGAAGAGGGAAAAGGTTCGATAGTGGCTGTGTTTTGTTTTTGATAAGTTCACAGAGACGGAATTTTATATATATTTTTTAAAAATTAGACAATGCTCTATCTCATAAACATCCAAGAAATGAAAGAATCATGGTTCATCATCAAATATACAATGACATCATCTATAGATTGGTTTACAAAAAAAGTTTAGTTCGCAATCAATTATTAAGAGCTAGGAACTAGCGTTTAAAACATTTTGAATAAATCTTGATGTAATAAATATTTTTCTAAATATTTTAAATTTCAACAAATCGGAACCTCTTCATGATAGACAATCGTGAACTACTATAGTTTCTTTGAATAACTGTACCGAGATTTGAATTTGTAGTTCTTAATCATGACTAGTTTGTAGAGTTAAGTTGGTTTTTGTTCACGTGCAGAAGAAGAGGGGGAGGAGGGAGAAGGCGACGAAGGAGCTGAAAAGAAGGAGGGCGAGGAAGAAGCTGAAATTGAAGAAGGTTCGAATAAGTGTGAACAACTAATGAACATCTGTAGTGGACGAGAAAATTTGACCCCGGCTGAAAATTTCTAACCCTGTTGATTTTTTTTTTTCAATATGAGACGGATGTTATTTCACAGAAAAGCTAAAATATATGAAAATTTTCAATCTGTTGAACAACCCAATTGCAAAATCGGAAGTCTTAGAAGTTTTCATTGATTTTTTCATCGATTGTTTTTTTTGTGTGTAAGCACTATACTAACCAACCCTTTAAAGTTATAACTCTAACATATTAACTCCAGTCGAAACTGTTCGACCTAACACAGTTGGTCGCCCCCACAAGCCTACTCGCCAAACTTACCAAAACGAGCAAAACGTCGATTCCGGCCAAATAGACCGGCTAATTTTGGACGATCCAGTTTCGTACCCTGAGCCCATTTACTCGAACCTGGATCGTATAGAGGAAAAAGTGGATGGAAAAACAGAATCGAGTTACAGTAATTATTCTTCAGATGAAAACAGAATGCAAACATGCGGAAAGTCGGAAAGTAGACAAAAGCTTCGAAAAAATAATCGAGTTTCTTTCAAAGATGAAGTTGAAGAATTGTCGCTTGACCAACTTGAGAAAACGGACAAAAATGAAAAACCTGTTGCAATCGAAATTTCAGAAGGTCTTGGTTCTAAAAATTGTACCGATGCGGGTCAAAAATCAACAAAGGAAATCAAAACGCCTGGAGCAGAGCTTCGCTGTCATAAAAATTCCGAAATAGTTAATTCAAGAAGTTTAAACGAAATCGGTTCAAAAAGTTTCGCTGAAATTGGAGAAATACAGCCGCATACGAAAAAAAGGCCAGAAGACATACCTTGCGAATCACTAAAAGGTCCAATCATGGCTGACTTTATGGGAAAGTCGCAACTCAGATCTTGTAAAGGTATTTGGCTGTGAACTGTTTGCGCTCAACAGGCTGAACGAATTTTTGTGTTCTCTTTTGGCGTTTTCTCTGTTGTGAGTCGTGAAGAGTTGTTATGTGTTTTGGGTTTTCTGGCTTTCTTTCTCTGGATGCTTTCAGGAGCTTTCTCTTTCAATGTTTTTTTGAGGCTGTTCTCATGGCAGAATGACCAAATGCGATAAAATTTTCGACCAATCGGTGTCCTTCAAGCAGTACAAAACTGACTGATTTTCACGCTTGTTTTTTTTTCGGAATTTTTTGAATTCTGATTGGCTAGCATAACTTTATGGCATTTGGTCCTTCCACTTTTTACTTCGTTATGTGTTGCGTTTTCAATGTCATCAAGAATGTCTTTAATCTTCATTGTAGGTTCATTTCATGTCATCTTTTTTCTAATTTAAAAGTCAAAGCTTTAAATCAATCTAAGATATGTATCAGCATTGTTTTACAAAACAATTCTAAGTGAGATTTTTATTGATTCGAAACAATTTGTAAATTGTTCATTGATTAAAGTTATTGTGCATTAACACAAGATTTGATTCAGAAAATTACAAAGCAATTTGGTTACAAATAATAATGTGATCTGGATGTGTGGTCTTTTTTGCATGATTTTGGTAAAATGATAATAGAGAACCGTGAAAATTATCTATCCAAAATTTTAAACAAGACAATGGGTTGAATATTTTTTCTTCTCATTTCCTTGCAGAGGAGACCATCACAGGTACTACAGCTGGTACAGTGGGTGTGTTGGGTGAGATATCAGAGGCACTCAATGAAACAGACTCCGTTGGTAAGATCACCCCCCCCCCCCCCAACAGCCCAACACCCATATATTGTAGACTAGCCGACTAGATGATGTATAAATCGTAATAGAGAGAAAATATGTAGATTTTAGTTTGGGTAAGTTTTTGTTTTGCCATTTTTATCAGATTATTTATGTAACTAGAAACTTGGAGGTCAGAACTATCAGTCAGTATAGTTTTGAATAGTTATCAGTTCAATTTTTTAAAAATAAAAACAGAAAAGAATAGTTCGAAAAAAATCATAATTTAAAGTTTCAGTAATTAATTTTTCAGCTCGCTTGGTTTCATTTCGGTTTTTAGCATGTATTTCTTTATTTTCATTTGAAGTTTTACTCCTGTGTTTGTCTTTAGCTCTGAATTCTAACGCTTGTATGTTTAAGTATTGCATAATTGCACTTTTCAAAATTCCTCTGCACTATTGCACAAATCAACAACAAAAAAGTTAAAATGCACCGTGGCAGCTTTTTTACCACTTTTTTGCATGCAACAGAGGAACAGCGGTACGCGGCGTCAAAACTGCTCTTGAAAATAACAAGATTTCTTATACCAGGGCAAAGCGTTGAACTCTCTGACTGACCTAAAAGGTGTCTGATGTTAAGTTTGTTATTTTCGACAAATAATTGAAATGAATCCCCCATACCGACGTTCTATAATATTGAACAATATTCTGCTTTCTTTCAAATGAAATTTTTTCAAGTTTTTTTTTCGTCCTAAATTAAACAGTCACCTTTGCTTCGATAAGAATCATTGTTTTTTTTCTCAACAAGTTACGGTAGTATTATTCTGCTCATTTTGACGTGTTTTGGTGTGAAAGAACAATTTCTTGCATATTTAATTTGAGTCAGCGAATTAAATAGTATCGACCAAAAAAATTCGAAATAAAATTAAGTTATCCTGAAAGTTTACATTTGCGTTTTGCGGAGACAAAAGTGTGGCATCTATTCTTCAGTTTACCTCTTTAGCTGTAGATTTCAGTGCATGACAATATTTTTGAGTGTTTAGATTGACAAGGGCAGATGTTTGCTGTGCAAGTAGCTCAGAAATTTCCCACCACGTTAATCCTAGCCTTCAAGTTCAAAAAATATGAAAAAGAATCGCTTGTTTGACAAAAGATTACAAGGTATTTAAAAATGAAAAAAAAAAAAATCAGCTTTGTAAAGTTTGTTTCTTTCTTATTAAATCGAATTTCTTCGTTAAAATTGTTGTGGTACGAACATTTTATGCTATTTATCTAGCAACCGGTTATCTTTGTTTCGTATAGACACAGCTACGGAAGCATATTTATGTGCGTAAAAATGTCCATGTCATCAGACAGTTCATGCATGATCATTATTCTGAATGATATGAAATACGAGACCTTAGTTTTTACTTTTTCCAGGTTCAGTGGAGGGCGAGGAGACCACGGGGGCAGTGGGGGGAAACCCGGTGGACGAAGTGGATGAGACACACCCTGAAGTGATTGCGATAGTGGGGGAGGCAGTTAAAGTGGCTGAGGCCAAGGATGTGGAATTACCTGCTGAGGTAATTTATACGGTTGTTTATAAACCGCAGCTTAAAATGTGTAATTATTTAGTAACAGTTATATAACAATTATGTAACAGTTAGGAAAGTCATGCAAATTTTATTCAGATGATGTAACTTTTCGTTGGCTTATTATACTTCGGCTTATTTGTTTGTGATATAGTGTCCCTTCGGATGGCTGTGGACAGCTATATCGTCGTTTATTGATAATGTTGTAAGCTGTTCGAATATTAATTAGCGCTACTGGCTATCAATTGTTATGTCTTGTTTCCATAATTTATATGTCTCGAGCGGTTAAGACTTATTGTTCCGACTTTCGATACGAAAGTAACGGAATATTTGTGCTCGGGGTGGGTTTTTTTCTTCAGACAAATTTCGACTTTTTAACTAGCCATTTTTGACGGAAATTTTTGATATCATTCGAAAGGTATTGTTGTCCTGAGCTCAAATTTGAAAAGATATTTCACCTGTGAACATTTTTCGTAAAGTTATGGGGGTTTAAAGATTGCCATTTTGGCCAATTTGGGACAATTAATGCGCGATATAATTCGCGCTATTAACGCGTAAGCGGAAAGTTAATCCGTCTTAGAAATCGTTCCAAATTGGTTTAACGAAGCTTATTTGCCATAATTGATTTGTTAATAGGCGCAAAATCTATCAATTTGTACTTAATATGACGTGTGGGGGGATGTTTTTACATAAAATCTCAATTTTTTTCAAAAATTTTTTTAAATTTTTTTATTACTTTGAAACTTTTCATCTTATTAATGCTCCATAGACCTTAAAAGGCAGTCGGAACTTTCAGGGCTTCACCCTGATCCGAGCAGTCTTGTCTTGCTTTTAAGGACGCAGGATTCGGTTCTTAACTTCTGGAATATCGCTAGTCGATCGGCGCAAGTTAGAGCATGATTCTAATATTTTATTCTCTTCAAGTCTTTCCAATTGATTAGTAGCTCGGTATAAATCTCCAATGGTTGGTATTAATTACCATCAATATTTACATAGTTAAATAAATATAAATGTATGAACTTCATTTCATTAACAAGGTTAATTATGTAATCTAATATAGCATAAGAATGCATGACGTCATGTAGTGATGTCACATTGTTTAAATTCAATTTATACATATTATACTCCACACTGATTGGCTTAAATTTCCGACCTAGAGTCAGCTGAACATCTGCGCTTCTAAACCACTTCACAGACGGCTGTTACCTTGCTCCACATGATTATTCTAGGAAAAAACTTCTTACTGTCTTTTTTTAATCTACATATGAGCGGGTAAAGCAAGCGATTAATTGAGCAAGTAACGCGAAGAGCTCCTTCATCAGGTGCGACGTAATTATTTTTCCCCAGTTTAGTGAGAGCTGTTGGATGTTGTATTAAATTTTGTACGTTGTAAGTGATCAAAGATAGCAATTCATTAAGAGTTGCAAAAATTGAGAAAAACTAGTCTGAATTTTGTGATGTTTTTTTGAGAAATGATGCTAGCTTTTATTGTTCCGACTTTCTATACGAAAAAAAAACGGAATATTTGTGCTCGGGGTGGGTTTTTTTTTCTTCAGACAAATTTCGACTTTTTAACTAGCCATTTTTGAAGGAATTTTTTTTAAACCACTAAAAGGTTTTGTTTTTCTGAGCTCAAATTTGAATAAATATTTACCTGTGATCAGTTTTCGTACAGTTATGGGGGTTTAAATTTTGCCATTTTGGCCAATTTGGGACAATTAACGCGCGATATATTTCGCGCTATTAACGCGTAAGCGGAGAGTTAATCTGTCTTAAAATTGTTCCAAATTGGTTGAAAGAAGCTTATTTGCCATAATTGATTTGCTTCAAGGAGCTAAAACTATCTTTTTGTTTTTTTATGGCGTTTGGGGGGATGATTTTCATTAAAAATTTCAAATTTTAGAGAAAAAAAAATCATTTTATTTTATTACATTTATTTTTTTAATGTTATTACTGCTCCATAAAACCTTAAAAGGCAGTCGGAACATTCAGGGCTTCGCTTTAATACTAGCAGTCTTGTTTTTTCACAATTGCTATAGCAGGTGTCTTGTAATCGGGGAGCTAGACCTTTTTTTCCCGTAAACAACTTTCCTACAAACCTTACTTGCTTTAGTATTGAAATTCGCCGAATACCAGGTTCGTTCCCTCCTGGCATAGGGGTAACGCAGATGCCTTTGTATTCTAGGGTTAGCGGTTTGAGTCCTGATCGGACCTTGTTTTTTTAGTTTGTGTATAATTGAATTTTTTTCTGGTAAAAATTGGATTTTTGAACCTTCGTTTGTCCGCTCAAGTTTTGCCGGCTTAGTCGCGACATCACGGGTATTGCTTGTGCCGTAAGCAACTTTCACTGTAGTTGCATTTGCAAGTAATGTTCATTGTAGTTTTTGAAGGGACTTAAAACTTTTAAATATTGCTATAAAATCATTTTTTTCCCGTTTCAACTTGTGTCTGCTGAAATTTTGTCGGCTTTACTGTCTCTTCATACGTTTTTTCCGTGCTAATTTAATATTCAAATGGCCGGTATGTTTACCGATAACAGGTTTATATTGACACATACGAAAATAAACATTTAGGTGGACCTAGTTTTTTTCAAAGCTTTTCAATTTTTTGACGTCATGTTTTTTGTGTTGTATCGCAAATAATGCGAAGCTTCGCTTCGCGCCTGCTTATTACTCTTGCGATCAGTAAAGGAACTGTAACTTGGTACTAGAATTTGATCCGTAAAAACGTTGCTCACAGAATGGTCAATATAGTAAGAATGTAAACTCACGTGCAGACTGCTGATTTGCTCAATTTCTTGAAAAATTAAATACAACTACCATCATATAGGTTAGATAGTCTTAGGTGGATATTTTTTGAGGCAGTTATTGTATCCGATAAATTGCTGGGGAAAAGTGCTGAAATTTTTTCGGGTTCCCGGTTTCGTCCTAGTTTTCCTCGGTTATTTTTTAGTTGTTTTAAATGCCTTTTATATTAACTGGTATAGTTTTTTGGCTGAGTTTCCAAATCATGGGTTGTTATCTGATTTGAACATTTTATATGATAATTGAAAATCTGTATTTATAAATTTATCAAATCTGATTTTGAACATATTTATTTTATTTGTCGTTTTTTTTCTATTAAACAGTTTTATCTATGCTATATCGGCTTAGCAACTTCTTTTGTGTTGTTTCGAGGGCAAAATTTTAATCATTTTTTGTGTTTTAGTACGGAACGGATGGGTGGTAAGAGTCGTTAAAGCTTGTATGTTCAAAGTTTAGTATGACAACCGTTCCATTTTCGGCTCATCAGGGGTCTACCCAAGTTTGTTGCCCTAGTTGCCGCTCTGTGAATGATTCTCAGCGCTTTTTGATCATCATTCAAAACAAACTTGAAATTTTTCTAGAAATAATGTTTTTTATTTGTTCAAGTTATTATCAATTTTTTCTAGTAGTCTTTGCAAGTTTTTTTTTCAAAAAACTCAAATTCCGTCCATTTTTATTTACTATTTTATAACGCAAAAAATTGTTCCAAAATTAACAGTGGTCGGAACTTTCTGTTCCACTTGTGATTTATTGATGAAGTTTTTTTAGGTTCTTGTTCCATTTCTTCCAACTGTGGTAATTACACAAAGTAACTTACTTTTTACATTGCCCAATGTTTTCAGTTTAGGCTTGCATAGCAATTTGCCAATTCCAATTACATTTGGTCTTCATCTACAGCCTTCAAAATGAAAATTTACGCAATCAATTAAATAAAACTTAACGAACAATATCAATTTGTGTCGGCCGTGTGAGAAAACCATATAAGAGTCTTTTAGATTAATGTATGATAATTTTTTACTTTATATTGACTCTATTCTGTTGCAGGTGTACGCGGAATGTATTCTGAATGCAATCAAAAGAGTGAAGAAGAAGATGGTCAAACTGTCTCCCTTCACACCAATGTAAATAAAGCTAGATGTTTGTTTCCGCCATCAACTTTGCTTTTGATTGAACATTTTGGAAGTCAATTCCGATTCTTCCAATTTCTTGAGATAATTTTCAAACCAACAGAGGTAAAACTTATTTTTCTCAACCTGTCTTAGTTTTGATGTTATTCAATACCTCGAGTTTCAAAACTACATGGATGAACTGAAGCTAGCTTTATTGTTAAAATCAACGCAAACTCGAGAAAAGTTATATAGTTAACCCTTTTTTGCACAAAAAAAGTAGTTTTTCAGTGTTTGTTTTGGTTTCATCCGTTTTAGTAAAGAGTAATTTCAAATTTCGTAACTCTATTTTTCTAATTTATTTCACCTTTCTTTTTAACCAGGGCCACTGCTTATGAAAAGGACGCGTTGGACGAAATATCGTCAGTATTAATCAGAATTCACTTTTCAAACCCACTTTTCACCCGATATCATGTGATTTTTTGATTGATTCCTAATTTGCCCTCCTTGTCTCAACATGTCTTCTATTTTTGTTTGAATCTTGTTGGTCTATTATTTACAGAGGGGGAAAAGTCGACATTCCAACAAAATTTCATTTGTTCGCGAGTATTTGCTGTTGGGTGAATATCTTTTGTCGGAAGGACCTGAAAACTTTACCAGCCAATCAGAATTCATTGTTCAAAAGTTCGATAGAAATAAAGTGCAAATCAGTCTGTTTTCGGCAGTTATAAGAGCGTTGATTAGTTGAGAATTTATACGCATTCGGTCTGTATATCATGAGAAGTGCGTATTCATAGGTCCCAAAATGAAAAATCAGTCCTATAGGTCCCAAAATAAAATAGCAGTCACATAAGTCCCAAATCTTTTCAATTGGTCAAAAGACTTAATAACCGGCTCTAAGTTTCGTATAGCGTCCTACCCTTTGGTGGCAAGCTCGCAACACGTTGGCGCGGCTGCGGTGGTCACTATTCTGCAGCTTGAGTTTATGCTGCTTGAACAGTAAAGAATCAATCCATAAACTCGTTGGCCCAAGTTTTAACCAATCAGAATTCAAGAAGATAAGTTTCGGGACTTATGCGACTGATTGTTTATTTTGAGTGCTATGAATATTGGGACCTATGGGAATTCACCATCATGAGAATAGACCCCCTTGTTGTTGAGCTCACATCATTATGTCACCATAGTTTTACCTTTTCGGATCCGATGCTCACAAATTATGTCTTCAATAATGCTCATTGCTCTTTTATTTCGAAATTGACAAAAAGATAATTAAATTTTCTAATCATAAATTTAATTTCGAGCAAATGTATTTCCTGTAATATAAGCTCTCAGTTTTTTTCAGCTGAAAAAAAAATATTTGCTTTTAGGTATCTAAACTTTTTTTCTGATTACCGATTACGACTGATTGAAGCTTTAATCATTTGGAATTTGAGTGTTCACCAAAAGGTTTACTTACCATTACTGTAAACTTTTGCATAAATGGCGATGCCGCTTCATTCTCTAACCTATTAAATTAAACGTTGGGATTGTAAAATTTGTCTATCGAAACAAAGTTTATTACTTCTTTATTTTCTTCTCGCAACATCAGCGGAAAATGAAGTTGTTCTTTCTCTGTTATCCACAGACATAACGGCGCTACATTCTTTGGATTTGTTATATCAATCATTTCGATTTTCAATTTTTATCGAAAAAGAAAGAATTTTTTTTCTCCGCAGAGACGGTGGTTACATCCTCGACAACTTCCCCCGCACACGTGAACAGTGGACTGCCCTTCTGGACAAGGGGGTGACAATAGACGAAGTGCTGTGCATGCAGGATAACTCGGAGGGGGGTCAGTATCTGATGAGGAGACACTATGAGTTGAACAAGGGGGAGATTGAGGAGAGGATTACGAGGAGGATTGAGGAAGAGAGAAGGAAGCAGGAGGAGATGGAGGAGGCTGCAAGGTAATCAACAATTTTTCCAGAATTTTCTTGTTTAAGACTTCTTTAGAAATATTCCCAAACTTACCTAAACAATTACTTGAAAGCTTAAAGAATTTTTTTTTACTTTTGAGAGCAAGTGACTTGTATTCGGGATCTAGATTTTTTTCTACCGCAAAAAACTTTTGCTACGAATCTGTAAGAAACTTGACTTGTTTTATCATGGAGCCAACACAATTTTTTTGCCCATTCTCACTTGGTCTTCTCGAAAAGCGCGTTTTTTTAAAAAGTCCAAATACCTGGATACAAAAATCAAATACCGTTTTTTTGATATTTATGCAGTAAGATCTTATTTCTGAAAAAACTTGAATAGTCGATCTATCGTTTTTTGATTATTTTTGTCAGCAAATTTCCCAATTTTTTTTAGAATTTTTTGGTTAGGTAAACAATTTTTACTATAATTGAAAGTCAATTTGTAATTTGTTAATTTACCATCTTTAGTTTTGAATAAATTCCTTTAGTCGTCTTATATTTCATCGTGTGCAGAGGAAAATTAAGTTTTCTTGTTTGTATACATTTCAGAAAGGGGTGGGCGTCTTCGAAATTGCAATCTTAATAGTCAAATTTTATATGGCAACAATAGTTTTGAGGGCGATTTTGTTTTTGGCTTAATGGGCGTCTACGCAATTGTTTTCGGCTAGGTTGCCGCTCGGTAAATGGTACTGAATGCTTATTTAACGCCGGTATGTTGATCGACTTTGTCTTCCTGAAATTGAACATCAGTCGAGACAATCTTATGCATTTTTGTAGATGTTGCTTCTTTCAACATTCTTTTTTTTAATATAAATTATGGTTTTCATCTCAATTTCTATTCATTAAATTGCACAAATATGCTTGATTTGTACTGCATCTGTTTAAAAAAGTTTTCTTTGTTTGACCAATTTTTCTGTTCGTTTTTATGATAAAAAGGGAGGAATGATACCGTATCGATATATCCTAGTTTCTGAGTTGATCTCTCTACAGAATTTGTTATTCTTTTTTTTAGTATCAAACTTTTTGAAAATATACAAGTTTATACGGTTGCTGGTAAAGTAGCACAGAGTATTCCGACGATATTGGATTAAAAACGAAAAAAGAATTTCCCAAAGTATCACTTTTCTGGATTTTTTCGAGGAGAGGGAATGGGGGCGCTATTCAAACTTCATGAAATAATTAATAAAGGTTAAAAAATATTTAAATTGGTGACAATCGAAATTGGTCCGAAAAAGGATTTTAGACCAATTTGAGTCTGAATAGCCAAAAATTCAAACAATTTCTTAGTCGACACGGAAACAACTAGTTTATTTTTTTTAGAATCCTCCGAGTTACAGCTAATATATTTTTAAAATGATACTTTTTTGACCCCGTGCAGGTAATTAGATTGGTTTTAAAACACACACCTTACCCTTTAATTCCTTCCCACTTCGTGAAGTGGTCGGAACAATGAAACGGTTTACACGAAAATACTTTTCTTTGAACAAGGCATTTTGAACAAGGCCAATCAATACATTGCGCTAAAAGGTGTCGCTTTTCAGTCAGATTAAGGTGATCAAATTGGAATTCTTCAAATTTAACCTACATTTTTAACTTAATTGTGTAATGCGTTTTGATTATTGAAGAAAACGACGGAAGCTTCCCAGAAGAGACACGTAAGACTGAGGAAGACTTCTGCGCTTATTGGATTCCACTGAAATAATTAGCTTCATTGCACATTCACTTTTTATATTATGATATTTTCATTTCAATAAGTTTTGATTATTTCCCAATGCTTATTTCGTAAATTTGTTTTTTTTTGTTGTTATCAGTTGATTTTTTTAAATTCTTGTTCATTAATGATTTGTTTGGTTCAATCTTATTATTTATCCTGTGAATGCTGTAATTTTTTCTAGTTCGCGTATGTTTTCTTCCTACTTGTTTAATAAACTAATTATTAACCGATCTTGTAGAAAAGCGGCCGCGGAGGAGGAAGAGCGAAGAAGGAAGGAGGAAGAGGAGCAGGCTAGACTGCTGGCGGAGGAGGAAGCGGCTAGGAAGGCTGCTCTGGGTGAACAAGACGAAGAGGAGGGTGAGGGAGAGGGAGAAGAAAAGACGGCAGATGACTCAGAGGACGGTGAGAAAGGAGGAATGTGGGGTAACGGTCCGGGGGGGGGGGGGGGGGGTGTGGTTGTTACATTTTTTATTTAGTATAAGTACAAAACTATTACCGCGGATAATATAATTTAAATGAGTACAAACAGTTTGACAAACAAAAACAGTCCCCAAAATGCTTCAAAAAATGGTAAAAACGCTATCTAAAATGACACAATGCTAAAAAGCGGTGACAAATATTTCAGTGAAGAAGCATAGTATTGTCATGCAATTTGACGGCAACTTTAAAAAGTTCTTAACTTTTAAATGGTTGAGATAAACAAAAAAAAAGAAGTTTTGACGGCGAATTTGATTCCCAAGATCTGAACATCAACCAGAACAGACGAAAATTTCCACCAACAATTGTAGTTGTCTTACTTAGCTATGAAGTTTGTTGCTGACACCTGTGAAATTTACCCTACTATCAAAACTGGAACTAATAGCCCTGGCGCAACTTTAAACTGAATCTACACTCAAATCCATGCATCATAATTTATCTGAAAAAAGTCAGTGTACACGCACTTGGAAATGTTTTAACTGTTGTTTCTTTTTTTTCAGCTCAAAAAGGCAAGTTGATCAACTGAACTGTTTGTGGCTCTGTCTTATCTCAAATACCAAAAATTTTGGCCGGTTTAAATCTGATTGTGTTTCATAATTTAAATGAAAGTTTTTTCAAGTAAAAGTACAAACTCGGACCTTGATTCAGTTATTTTGATTTTTGAAAGTGTGCTTTTGTGCATGCCAATTTGAGCTTATGCATGCGCTTTAATTTTACTTTGGAAAATTATCGATTGCTCTCATTATTTATTGAATTTGTTTCCAAAGTTTTCTGCCTGTGGAAATAAAAAAATTCCTATCACAGGAAAGACATGCGAAATCTTTTGAGGAAAACTTTCGACGGTTAAATAACTTTTTTGAAATAATAAAATTGTGCTTAAAACGATTGATCGATATGGAGAAAGTTTTCATGAAAATGGCGTAACTTGGAGTGGACCGCATCAGAATGTTTTTCCATAACAATATTCGTGATATACACTAATGATATGCCCATTTTTAAGAACTCTTCTTATCTTGTAAAAGGAGCTACGTTGAAATGAAAGAAAAAACGAAAGCTTCAGTTTCAAATGGCAACATCATTTTGTGGGATCAACTCATGTGTAAAAGTATCAAAAAAGCGCTCGCCAAGTTTTCTTTTGTTGAAAATTCATCTCCTGAATCTGAAAGTTAGAAAGTTAGTTTTGTTAGTTTTTTTATTAAAGAGTACTTCCATCATGTTTGTTTTTAAGAGTTACCCTTTTTGGAAGGCACCAAGAAAATATTCATCAAAGTCTCAAAATTATTCATTGACCAATTTTAAAAGTTATCTGCTAAGAAAAATCAGGGACATTTTTGTTAGCCCTGATAGTCAGAGTGATGGAATAGCGCGAAAACATTTCGTATTGATTAATTTTGTCTCAAAAACTTCGTCAAAATAGGCAAAACTTTCTTTCGCTCAAAGAATCATGTTACTATAAAAAAGAATTAATGCAAAAGATAAGATATAGGACAAATTTGTTCAAGGTAAACTGGTATCCGCATACGTGGTTCAACAGTGGTTACAGTCCAAATCAAGCACACTAAACGAATTATACAATTGTTGCAATGGTTTTACATTGTTGGAAAAAATGCGAAAAAAGCACTCGTAATTTTAACAAACATTTGGTAAACGTTTTTTAATCGTTCTTTTAAAAGATTTTTCATCAAATATTTTAAAATTGATTTAACTGTTGAGTAAAACGTCGTAAAGAAGCTTCATCGAACTGATTTTCATTTTTTTCTGAAACTAATGCCAAACCGTTAATTTAAAAAACCTCTCGAAAAAAAGCCCTTGCACCCCAAGATTAAGAGTGTTCTGGAATATTCTAGAAGACGAGGAGGACGAGAGTGAAGGTGTGGATCCGACTTCGGATGGAGATCCGAATACGAGTGAGACGCAGAATGTGACTTCAACCGAGGAAGGAATAACCAGACAAGGGGATGGAACTGCAGCTGCAGATGCTAACAAAGCAGCAGAAGAAGGTGAGAATTGATTATTGCACGTTAAGTTATTAATTTTTTGAAAACTCATTTTCAAATTGGTCTTTTTTGCAAACAGATATTTCTTGTCAGTTGGTCTTTTTGTGCAATTAAACGTCTCCATTAGTCATTATTTCAGTTTAATTATCCCAGTTGTCGCCATGAAATGTTAACTTTGGTTGCTTACGCTTTTATTTGAACAAAAATGACAGCTGATGATGTCAAAAAATTTCCATGTGAGTCGCTTAACTTTCCGATAAACTACGTTTTGAGCAAAACTGTTGTTTTTTAAAAAAAATTTTGTCAATTAATTTATATAATTCTATCGGAACCATAGACAGACCATGAATCCTACTAGAATGACATCCTACTACGAATGGAATTGAAGCGAGGCAAATCTTCCTCACCAATGAATCTCTTTTTTGGAAATGGTTAACTGTCGATGTTAATGTCTTGTTGATCACTTTTAGCCGCTCTTTTGGCTCCGCCCAATCTCCCATTCCTTCAACCTACAGTTGATACCCAGATAGGTAAAAAAAGTAGCTGCTAGGCACAAAGAGTGGAGAATGGTTTATAATTAGCTAAACTTAGTATAACTTCGTATTAACTAGTAACCTGTTAGGCAATGTTGTGTGCGAGTATCCATTAATGGAAGAATTGTTATCATAGTGAATATTTATTAACTCATAATTTGATATCATCCACTCTTCTGTTCTTTTTAAAAGCTGTTTTCTTTTTCCTTCTGTAGACAATATTCAGAGTAAATAGTTTTAATAGTGTTATCAAAGCTGGTGATTCAAAATATTTTATGAATAATTCTACACGCTGATATACGATGATGAATTTAAGACATTAAGACGACATGAATTTAAGACGGCAAATGAGAATAAGCGAATTATATTCTTCAGAAATACAATTTGAGATTTTGTTGTTTGTAGCGTCCTCTTAAAGCACTGTCAAACGCGGTTGTCGTCTTAGCAGCTGTCGTCTTTTTATCGTAGACTGATTTAATGGTATCACAACCAGCCTTAACCGTTATTATCTAGTCAATGGAAACTGATAGTTCTAATTTTTACCAAAATTAAATTTAGTTAAATTACATTCAACTTTTCTCGCTTCAGCCACACAAATACAAAAAGTTCACTAAAATCAGGGTAAAACGTTCACAATTACTGACTTTAAAAGAAAGTCAATTTTTTAGACAACCAATCAGAGGCCGACTCCAAGGCAGATCCCACTCCATATGATGCCCCAGAGATGGAGGAGTTCAAATCCAGGTACCACCTAAACTCTATACGTCTCGAGAGCCGCATAAGAAGGCAGTGTTTTTTCCATCAGTTCCCGCTACAAAAAAAGTATACCTTGAAATTTGTTTTTTTTTATTTCTTTTGATACAAGTGTACTACATGAGAACTTTCTATTCATTTTGTGTAGCAACTGGCTATTAATGTTGAGATTGATCTGTTAGGAAGCTGGAGTTTGAGAGGGAGTGGCCTCAACTGGCTTCTACCATCGCCTCTTCCTGTCCGATTGAGCCCAAAGTGATCACAGTGGACGAGGGAGTGACCAAAGAACACATTCAGGACACTGCTATCAAGGCCATAGAAGGTACCATTGTTAACCCTAGACCATCCGAGGTACCCTAGATAAGGTCATAGAAGGTACCATAGTTAACGCTAGACGATCTGAGGTACCCAAGATAAGGTCATAGAACATACTGTAGTTCACGCCTCAAGAGGTACCATAGTTTAGGAAGCTGCTTTTGTGTGAACTAATTATGAAACTTGCTGGAATAAACCCGCCTAAAGTTAGTTATTAAGATTCAAGGATACGTGTTAATTTATGAGGTTCGTCCCCTGTAATGTCTAAGTGGAAGTCTTATATCCAATTGTATCTTGGTATCTTAACTTAAATCACCGAATGAAGTCTAAACGACGAAGAAGACATTACAAGAAAGAAACTTCATGAAGACTCAAGATAGTAAGGAGGAAGTACCAGGTGCAAATAGAAAAAAGAATTTTAGATTTTCACTAACAGTTCATGTAGTTCACTATTGTTACTCTTCTGTTGTGTAGATCCCTTCTCCTACAAGGGGTGGGAGTACACAGGTCTGGATATGGACGAGGAGGAGGAGGACTTCGAGAACGACCAGGATGGAGAGGAGGAGATAGGAGAGGACGAAGAGGTACGACATATAGGGAACTTGATGAAACCAGTAGTAGATTTATGGGGGTATGAGGGTCCCATTTGGTACTATTTTAGGACATCCATTTTTGCTGGCCGACCCTTAATTTTTTCTGAAGGCGCCTTTGTCATGAAACCCAGCCTTGTTAAAAATCATTTCACGATTCAAATCATAACTGTTTTGTAGACGAGACTATTTACGCCTAGAGCTATTTTTCAAATATTGAAATCCCATCAGAAAATCTCCATATAGGGTTATTTCTGAATTTATTACCACGCAAAAAAACTTTCTTTGCTAAGAACCCTCCGTTTTCGGACTCTTGCGTCCCAGACAATTGTCTGAAAGACTGAAAAAATACTCAGACAAAACAGCCCCTCACTTCTTCGTCCCCGCAATATCCGACTTGAACTGGCGATAGGCTTACTAGCTCACGAGGATAACTTGATAGCCCTGCCTCAGTAATTATAATATACCTAATTTTGATTAAAATGGGATAATCAGAAATGGGCAATTTTGTCCTGAACACAAAATCTAGGAAAATTTTTGTTTTTTGGACTAATTTGTCTGCTTCACAATCGTCCGTAACAAGTGTCAAAGCAGTCAAGGTTCAAACCAGATTTTGGACTAATTTGTCTGCTTTATAATCGTCCGGAACAAGTGTTGACAGTCCTTTAGATATTGCGTTTACTTGCCTTGAATACAAAACATTTATCAAATCAGTAAAAAATGAATACAAAACATTTATCAAATCAGTAAAAAACTATTAGTTTTTAACAAAATCGTTTTTCATTATTTTGATTGGAGGAGGGGGGGGGGGGGGGTAATGGCAGTAAATAATTCGCCGTTTTTTTTTCAATAGGATGACGAAATGCTGAAGAAGCGCAAGCGTCCTCTTGGCGACACTCAACACTACTGTCCAGTTGAATTGAAGGACAGAGGAGTGTTGTATCCAGGGAACCAGGAGATAGCTGCCAAGTACAGGGAGAAGACATACTATTTCTCCACTCCAGAGGCCAGAGAGAAGTTCATGAGGGGTCCGGATCAGTATGTCGCCAAAGACAAGCCACTTAGGGTGATTTTTAATTTTTTTTTCAGTAATACGGGATCTTTTTCATTTGATAAGCGCAAATTGCTCAAAGTTTCACTGCATCTCACTGTGCTCGGGGTAACGCATGGCGATCACTGGAATAAAGCATTAGAATTTTGCATTCGATTAAGAAAAAGGTTGAAAAGTACATGTTTGGTCGATAAACGGTCAATTGTTTCGCAATTTCACTCGAATGAAGCCAATATATCAATAATTGAACTTGACAATGACCCATGGTTACTGATATTACTTATCATCTCTATTTGGATTTAAGGTGCATAAAACCAAAATCTTCCACTCTGATTATGAGCCAAAAAGTTTGTCACAAATCTGAGGCGTACCCGTCGAACGAAATATTTTTTGTGCCATAAAAAGCTTCTCATGACTAAGGCTCTCTACGATGAGTTGGTCTGTGTGTGAAATTTTTGACGAAAAGATAGTTCTAGAGTGTATGACGTATTTTCTAAAGTGTATATTCCAGAGTATATTCTAGAATATTCTAAAGTGTATGATGTATATGTCTCTGTGTGTTGTGTGTAGGCCCCTCCCCTGCGTCTGTTCATGTTGGGTCCCAAAGGGAGTGGGAAGAGTGTGCATTGTGAGGAGCTGTGTGCCAAACTGGGTCTGTTCCACATCTCCTTCCTGGACAGACTGCAAGAGATGCTCATTCCCAAGACCAAAAAACGCGTCTGTGAGTACATTAAATAAGAAGGAAAAATTTGAACAGAACGGACAGATTTAATTAAGAAGAGCAAGAGTGTTCAGAATTGGTAGATTGTTGTAAATATTTATTTCGTCCGTCCGGTTTTTCACAAAGTCGAGAGTTCGTTTTAGTTCACATTTTAGAAAGTATCTCTTATTGGATCACTTTCAAGCACTATGGTTCATTTTTTGGCTCAATTACAAAACCGCTTTTAACCTGTTGTATACTGTTCATTATATAAGTGCCATTATTTTCAAAAACCATGAGAAGAAGTTCGTAATGCTGACCTGTTGTAGCGGAGTTAGGGATCATGGTGTAGCGCACTTCACGCTCAAATGACCCTCTTTGATACCATTTTATGGCATCCATTTTTTGTCCCTAAATTTTTGCATGCGTGATTTCGGCACCCTTACTTACTAATTTTGAGAAGAAAAGGACTTCTGCTACATTTTCGTGTACAGGAATAGTCATGATTAAACGGTCTTGATCTTTGACTTTTGACCGAATGGTGTCGACCTTTGACCTTTTAATGATTTCAGTGCGCACTGGCGAGGAAGACGAAGATGCAGAGGAGCCAGATGATGACATCGACGGAGAAGGGAACAATAAGGATGGGGCAGGGGATGCCTCCAAGGCAGATGAAACTGAACCCACTGGGGGAGATTTCTCAGGGGAGACGGGAGAGGAGGAAAAGGATGTGTGTTTATTTTGTTATTCTATGAAGGTTTTTTGTATTTTTAGAAAAGCAGTTTTTGAACTCTTCGAATTATTTTAATCCAAAAACTACGAAAAAACTTAATCCGTCTCTCCTGAAGCATCAAGTTTGAAACATGCAAGTTTTTGATGGATTTTTAACCGAAATTGCGTCTTTTTTTGCTCATTTATCTTCTTACTCCATTCCACGTACACATACGTTTTGTGTTGGGTGTTAGTTGCATTTTAAATGAAAAATGTTATTAAGCTAGCTTTTGATTTATTGTACTTGAGCTTCGATCTTTGCTTTAGCTGTTCTTGCCGATTTACTTATTCTTGCTAAAAAAATTTTTACTCTTACTTTCAAATCTTAATGTACTTTTAATGACTAGGGTTCTGAGGAATTGACAGAGGAAGAGGAGTCCATTAGAGCATACTTGGCAGACGATGAGCCTCTCCCTCCTGATCTCCTGGATCAGATCATCAACAAATGGTGGCACGCAGAACCATACAAGTGAGTGTGTCAAAAACTGGGCGATTTTTCATTACACAACTGAGCTAGCGAGCGTAGTGTAATTAAAGTTTAATTTTTATTCTTACCTTAGTTGAACTAACGATGGAAATAAGCCCACTATTTGTTTTTTGAACTTTCGGACGTTATTTTTCCGTGTATTAAATTTAGTTATCGAGAATCAGGTCACTCATCGGATGATCATAAGCAGAGGCATTTATGAAAAGAATAGTGTTTCTTTTTGCCTGAAGATAATTGTTCCGACTTTCGATACGAAAGTAACAAAAATTTGTGCTCGGGTGGGTTTTTTTTCTTCAGACAAATTTCGACTTTTTAACTAGCCATTTTAGACGCAATTTTTTAAATCATTCGAAAGGTATTGTTGTCCTGAGCTTAAATTTGAAAAGATATTTCCTCTGTGATCATTTTTCGTAAATTAAAGTTACGGGGGTTTAAAGATTGCCACATTTTGGCCAATTAGGGACAATTAACGCGCGATATTTTCTAATGTTATTACTGCTCCATAAACATTAAAAGGCGGTCAGAACATTCAGGGCTTCGCCCTGATACGAGAGTCTTGTTTAATATTTCAAGTCGAGAAGCTTCGACTATACTCCTCAACATCGACTTAGACTTACTTAATCGAACTTTATAATTGTCAGCTAAAAGAAATTTTGTTTTAAATCACAATTTGCTTCCAGAAAATCTTAAATGTTTTCATTTTTGGGTCAGCTATTTTCTGGTAGTTTTGCTTTTTTCGCCAATTCCCACTCTCTTTCTGTGTTTTGCTTTCTGTAGTTTATTCTCTTTTCATATTAGTCCTTCATATTTCTATTTCGTTCCAGGTCAACTGGCTTCATCCTGGAGGGATTCCCCCGCCTGCAGGACGAGGTCACTTACATCCAACAGGCAGGTCTCTACCCAGACTGTGCCATTGTGTTGGTGAGTGAGGACAGTGACGTCATAGACAGACTGTTGCCCCCCAGGATGGCCAAGTGGGGGGTGAGGAGGGACAAGAGGGTAGCTAAGAAGCAGAAGATGATGGAGAAGAAACAGAAGGAGAGGGTATGTAATTACATATCATTAAATAGATTTTAAAAATTTAACAAAAAAGTCACAAGTTTAAAGTTTAAATAGTCGCATTTTTGTTCCGACCACTTCACGAAGTAACGGGAAAGAAAGAAGCAGGGTGTATTTTCTACTTCTTCTCGATTTTAACTACCTCAAAGAAAGCTTGAAATTCGACACCAACAGGCTATCCTTGCTTTCCAATCTGTATTTGATTGGCCGTTTTCCTGGCTCGAAATACGTGAATAATGAATACATTTTGACGTCACATTCGTATGCAATCAGTAAATAAACTACAATTCAATTTTTGACCTATGTAAATGAAAGCTTTTCATGAAATCGATAAAATTTATGATTCATTTTAGGAAGAAGCGATGACGAAGAGGCGAAATGAACTGCTAGCCGAAAGAGAAGCACGTCGAGAAGAGCGCAGGGTAAGCAAAGAACCTCAATTTTTAGTGGTACTTCTGCGAAGCGAACTAAAAACGCGTTTCTGTAGTTAACTCAAATAGCTTTCGCCTCTATATATTTTTTGGTAATCCTCATCTAGAGAAATAAACATGCGGCTCATTTTCACTAAATCAGACTTTTTGAATCTTTTCAATGATTTTGAGTTTAGAGGCACATTAACGTAAGAACCATGTTTTGGCTATTTACATTTTATTTTATGTCAACATGACCCCCTATTAAACTAAATAATAGTTGATATCTTCAGTCGCCCAAGATAGAGAATAGTTTTGTAAATTTCATTACCTTAGCATAACAAATATGACCTTGACTTGGAACCCTTGCATTTGATGAAAAAGATCCTCAAACCCACCAGAGGTCACCAAAGGTCAACTCAAGGTCAAATTGATGCCTTGGGTGACCGGGATACTTCCGACACTCGCAATATGTGCTTGACCTATAGAGTGGTGAAGGTAGTCAGATGAATAGTCTTGTTCTGAACTATTTCTATGAACACCTTTCTATCAGTTAAAATTGAAATATTTTAAATTGTATATGGGCTATTTGTCTAATTAGTTCTCCCGGCCTAACAAAAAAAAACTATCTCCTTTGGCTTAAATAATTAGATTTTTTTGATTCTTCGAATCTTCAGGTAAATAGATAGTCTGATGGTGATCACATGAAAATTTTTTGCCAGGAATCTTGACTACACGTAATAAATCGGATCAAGTTAACATCTTCCCCCCCCTTCCCCAACAGACCAAGTTAAGATCCTCCACCCCGGTGTTCAGTTTAAATTAAATTTGCTAAGCGCTGTGAGTTATGACTGGGGTGTATAACTCATAGAGTAATTTCGGATAGGGTACACCGTCTGCTCGTCACGCTATCTTATTTTCGGCCGGATAGATTCGTGCAACTTCTTAGTCTAATACCGATCCTAATCTTACTCTTATACTATCTAGTCTCAGGTTGTTTAACTAGTCTCTGCTAGGCTCAATAGATCTAGGGTATACTGGTTTATTGCGGCTGCTGAAGTGCTCGGGAGAGTCCAACTAATTTCTAAGTTAAATTCAAATCTCTCTGGTGCTGAATTTACAAGTAACTTCAGCACTTACAAATAAGTGGGTTGTTAGTTAGATGGATCATGATTGGTTAATATTAAATACTTTACATTGGTAAAACATTTAATTTATCCAATCATAAAATATAGTTTAGATCAGGTTCCACCCATCCGGGTTTTACAGAGTTTTTTAGAACAGTTCTTCTGTAGTTCAAGGATGGATGATGGACGTTGGTATTTGGCGAACATCATTTTTCTTTTGTTTCCTTTTTGTTAAGGAAGTTCCAGGGATCTGGAATTGAGGACACAAGACGTTGTGTTCTTCTTGTGACAACGACTGAGTCTCTGCAACAGCATCAATTCTGGTTTCAGAATGGTTGGCTATGTCAGGTTTTTCTGTTCTTCGGAGAGAACTTCTTTTGTGTTTGATCTAGCTCGGGAATGGCGTGGAGATTGTGCATGGAGGGGATGCCTGGTTACTCGGATCTGTACGTATACTTGAACATCGAGGTGGTCATTGGTCTAGTTCAATGAAGTCCTTTTCTGCGAAGTCAAGTCGTACTCTAAATCCTTTGAGTTGTGATTGTGAGCGGCATATCGATTGTAGTTGGTCATTCTCTCTCGAGTGTAGTGAGGTCGTCTTGTCTTTTGATGTTCGTCCTTGGTGTTGTATTCTGATCTATATATTGCATCATGTGATTTTACATTTTATAAAACTTTTATTAGTTTAATATTTTTTAATAATGATTTTAGTTAGTTGTTTTCACAAAAGCTTTTTGTTTTAGTTCGGTTATTTTGAAGAGTTACTCACCCTTGAGTAGCTCTTATTAAAAATAAAGGTGTGGTCACAAAGCGTGGATGTAGCGCGGTGGGTTAGGCCGGCTATAGAGCATGCTCAGGACGTCCTTTCCTGGTGGGTTAGGCCAGGTGTGGGAGTATGATTTCATGCGGTTTTTATGAGGAGTCCTGTTATGTGACAACATTTTATGTTGGGTTTGTTGTGGTTTTACTTATGTCTTGTTGGTTATGTACTTTTTCCAAAAAGCAAATTGTTTGTGGTATGGGTTTGTCTTTCGACTTTTTTGTGTTTTATTATCTCTTTCTAAGACTTTGTAATAGTCTTCAAAAGAATAAATTATCCAGTTTTAAACTGGGTTAATCCGGTTTGGGTACCGTTGGTTTCCTTTTCTAAGTCATGCTGTTATTTTATGATTTGTGGTATTTAGTAAGCTGCGTTGGTTAGTTTTGTTTAGTATATGATTCCTTTCCAACCGGGTTAAAGGAAAGTTTGAAACTTGTTATTATATGTTAGAGTTGTTGAGTGTGAAAACTTGAAACTGAAATTCATTATTTTAAACAATTCTTCGTGGGCGAGCTGTGTGAGTGTGGATAGAATTTCTGTGCGAATGAATGAGAATATCAAAAGGTTAGTACTGCAATTGCATTTTATTAATTTACTGCATAGAATTTGGAAATTTACTGCTAGTAATGGGGGAATTTTAAGATACAAATTTTCATCATATGTAGATTTATTGCTTTGGGGGAAAATTTTATAAATTAATTTACTGCATTGGTATTATATTTATTTAATTGTTGGTGCAAAAGTTAAAAGGGTCTTAAACAGTTTTGAAGAAGTTTGCTATTTTTTATTTTTCTTTTGTGAATTTTTCAGATGATCGAAGATGAAGGCTAAAAATCTAAAGAAAACATGAATAAAGAATGGTGAGTTTTTTAATATTTTAATTAGTTAGTTATATTCATTTAATTCATACTTACCTGTTAGTCGTCGGGGAAAAAACCGTGGGGGAAGATATCGTGAATTAGTTCTGAAGTCGTTAGTAGTTTAGCTAAGATGCGAATGATATTTTTAGTTTGAAGCAGTGGCCAAAGCAATTGAAGTGCCTTAATAGTGGTTAGTTCTTCAGTGCCTACTGCAAACTCATAAGGTGTGTTTTGGATTAAGTTATATAATTTGTGGTTAAATTTAGTGTTGTGGATGAATTCTAAAATGGGGATTTCTATAGGCTGTACAAACTCGTGCGGGATAAGGAAGGGTCGGGATTCTTCGGCGTTGAAGGTCTTGGTGATGGGGCAGAAAATGTACATTTGGGTTATGGGGTCATAGTTACGAAGAATACCATGAAGGTTAGTATCTTTAATACAATATGTGAAATTTAGGAAATACGGTGAAGTGTATTTTGAATTGATGAATTGAAAGCGATGGTGTGGTTGTCTAGAGGGTGTGTGGAGGTCAAAGTGATTTTGGATGAAACGATAGTAACTGTATGTATGTGTTTGTTTAGTTCGCAACATAATATCGTGTGAGCAGTGTAAATCTCTTTCGTGTGGTGCAAGGAAATGAAAGGTTAGTGAAAAGATTTGGAAGCGTTCTTTAAAACTTTCGTACGCTTGTGTGCTTGTTAGTGCTTCTGAAATAATGTGATCAAACTTTCGGTCGAAGATGTTTAGTGTAAATACATATGGTGTCTTGATGAAAAATTTCTCGGTGATTTGTGGGTTAGCGAAGCGATCGTCGTCTAAGAATTGATCTTGGTTAGCTCTGATGATGTTGTGATCGTAGTATTCTAGTGTATATTCATTAGCTCTAGGTGCAGTGTGTATTTTTAGTGATTTTTTATATCCTACGTAAGTAAATTGTCTAGCGGTGAGTGGTGTAGTTAGTCGATATAGCATGTCTTTGTTTCGGTCTATATCGATGGATGTGTTGGTTAAAGGTAAGCAAAGAGGTTAGTGAAATGATAGTATGAGGTCCAAGAGAGAGTGGGCATTAAAACGTATTCGTCTACAAAGTTGCGTGTTTCGTTAGCGTCATGAGGGGTGTTTAAGGTGTATTGTGGAAATGAGGGTAAAGTGATAGCTAAAAATTCTCTAGTGTTAGTATGCTGGGGGTGGTTGATGTATTCACGGGCTGTTCCTGGTTTTGCTGGGAAAGGATGGTTGGGGAACTTTCTTTTAAAAGTGCGGTAAGCTCTATTAGTGTTGAGTGAGGATTCAGTTGATGTGGATGATGGTGCTAATGATTCAGTATAATTTGAAGAGGGTGTAGGGGGATTGGATGAAGTTGTAGTGGAGGAGATTTGGTTTATGGTCGGGGTGTTAAGGTGGTAGGGTTGTTGTTGGAGGGTAATAAAATTGTCTAGCTCTGGGGAGATTCGGGGGGTGTCTGGAGATGATTGGTCAGAATGGTATGAGGAGTAGGTTGGGGTAACTTGGGAAGCATAAGAGGGTGTCGGAGTGATTGGGTCAGGGTTATTGGACAATATGGGTTGAAAAGGAGGTTGAGAAAAATTAGAAGGGTTATGAAAATTATTGGATGGAGATGGTTCTGAGTCGGCAAATTCGTCGGGGGTTTCAATATTCGGGTTATTTAGCTGTGAAATGGAGTATAAAACTGAAATTTGTGAGTTAGTGTCGGAATTCATGCCTGATGTTACATTGCTAGATGGAAAATCGGGTGGCGGAAAAGCAAAAAGTGGTATTATTGGGATTGAAGAGGTAAGGTTGGTTGGATGGGAATTTGATCGATGGAGTGATCCAAGTTGGCGGCTCATCGTGGGCTAAAAAAATTATTATTTTGAGATTGAAAAGCGGTGGTATGTGGTTGTTCAATAATTTGTTCGTAAGTATTATCATCTTGTGATTGATGTGTCATTATATGTTGGACGGGACTTTGTGATGTGGTGAGTCTAAAGTTTGGATTATGTGTGATTGCTAAATTTCTAAAATTTCGTGGGACTAGGGATAGTGGATGGTTATTTGGTAGGGGTGGTAATTGTGGTGCCGTTGGCTGTGGGTCGACATTGTTATGTTCTTCGTCGTATGTATTTTGTCGTGTTGTTATTTTTGTGTTATATTCTTTTATTTGTGCGTCTAAAAGAATTTTGTTTATAGATGTGGAGAAAATTC